CCCCCGTTGTATCCCCTCTCTCCGGTGACTCCCCCGTTGTATCCCCTCTCTCCGGTGACTCCCCCGTTGTATCCCCTCTCTCCGGTGACTCCCCCGTTGTATCCCCTCTCTCCGGTGACTCCCCTCCCCCGTTGTATCCCCCCCTCCGGTGACTCCCCCATTGTATCCCCCCCTCCGGTGACTCCCCCATTGTATCCCCCCCCCCTCCGGTGACTCCCCTGTTGTATCCCCCCCCCGGTGACTCCCCCGTTGTATCCCCCCCCTCCGGTGACTCCCCTGTTGTATCCCCTCCCTCCGGTGACTCCCCCGTTGTGTCCCCTCCCTCCGGTGACTCCCCCCCGTTGTATCCCCTCCCTCCGGTGACTCCCCCGTTGTATCCCCCCCCCCCTCCGGTGACTCCCCCGTTGTATCCCCCCCTCCGGTGACTCCCCCGTTGTATCCTCTCCCTCTGGTGACTCCCCCGTTGTATCCCCCCCCCTCCGGTGACTCCCCCGTTGTATCCCCCCCCCCCTCCGGTGACTCCCCCCCCGTTGTATCCCCCTCCGGTGACTCCCCCGTTGTAGGTGAGCTCCTAGTGTTCCTATCCGGAGGCTGTGCGGCCCGGAGACGTCATGCCAGAATCTCACATACATTCCTGAACTTCATACAAGGCTGCGTGTCAGTCCCGGCTCTCCGTGGCCATTGGCTGGTGGCGGCTCCTCAGAGGCCTCCGTGTCTCCGGGATATTAATTGTCCTGTCGCTCCTTCACTTCACATCCCTCAGAAATGTCATTTATGTTCTTAGCTGCAGGAAATCGCCGTAATGCGCATATTTCCCATCAAATGCAGATTGACGTGACCGACAAATGATTTCCACAGGCAGAAATATCCACGGGACTGTGTACAACGGGGGCCATGGGGTCCTCATATCACTGAGGGTACAACCGGGGCCACGGCTCTCCAAACCTTCTAAACAAGGGGCCAGTCTACTGTCCTTCACACTTTATGGGGTCACACTGTGGTTAGTGGGAGTAGAAAAGATCCTGACATCAGTGGGAGGAATAGTGCCCCATCATTGGTGTCAGTGGGGGGAATAGTGCCCCATCATTGGTGTCAGTGGGAGGAATAGTGCCCCCATCATTGGTGTCATTGGGAGGAATAATGCCCCATCATTGGTATCAGTGGGAGGAATAGTGCCCCATCATTGGTGTCAGTGGGAGGAATAGTGCCCCATCATTGGTGTCAGTGGGAGGAATAGTGCCCCATCATTGGTGTCAGTGGAGGAATAGTGCCCCATCATTGGTGTCAGTGGGAGGAATAGTGCCCCATCATTGGTGTCATTGGGAGGAATAATGCCCCATCATTGGTGTCAGTGGGGGGAATAGTGCCCCATCATTGGTGTCAGTGGGAGGAATAGTGCCCCATCATTGGTGTCAGTGGGGGGAATAGTGCCCCATCATTGGTGTCAGTGGGGGGAATAGTGTCCCATCATTGGTGTCAGTGGGAGGAATAGTGTCCCATCATTGGTGTCAGTGGGGGGAATAGTGTCCCATCATTGGTATCAGTGGGAGGAATAGTGCCCCATCGTTGGTGTCAGTGGGGGGAATAGTGCCCCATCATTTGGTGTCAGTGGGGGGAATAGTGCCCCATCATTGGTGTCAGTGGGAGGAATAGTGCCCCCATCATTGGTGTCATTGGGAGGAACTGTTCCCCATTATTGGGGTCATTGGGAGGAATTGTGTCCCATTGTTGGTGTCAGTGGGGTGAATTGTGTCCCATTGTTGGTGTCAGTGGGGAGGAATAGTGCCCCATCATTGGTGTCAGTGGGAGGAATAGTGCCCCATCATTGGTGTCAGTGGGAGGAATAGTGCCCCATCATTGGTGTCAGTGGGAGGAATAGTGCCCCATCGTTGGTGTCATTTTGGAGGAACTGTTCCCCATCATTGGGGTCATTGGGAGGAATTGTGTCCCATTGTTGGTGTCAGTGGGAGGAATAGTGCCCCATCATTGGTGTCAGTGGGAGGAATTGTGTCCCATTGTTGGTGTCAGTGGGAGGAATAGTGCCCCATCATTGGTGTCATTGGGAGGAATAGTGCCCCATCATTGGTGTCAGTGGGAGGAATAGTGCCCCATCATTGGTGTCAGTGGGAGGAATAGATGTGTCCCATCATTGGTGTCAGTGGGAGGAATAGTGTCCCATCATTGGTGTCAGTGGGAGGAATAGTGCACCATCATTGGTGTCAGTGGGAGGAATAGTGCCCCATCATTGGTGTCAGTGGGAGGAATTGTGTCCCATCATTGGTGTCAGTGGGAGGAATAGTGCCCCATCATTGGTGTCAGTGGGAGGAATAGTGCACCATCATTGGTGTCAGTGGGAGGAATAGTGCCCCATCATTGGTGTCAGTGGGAGGAATTGTGTCCTATTGTTGGTGTCAGTGGGAGGAGTAGTGACCCATTGTTGGTGTCAGTGGGAGGAATAGTGCCCCATCATTGGTGTCAGTGGGAGGAATTGTGTCCCATTGTTGGTGTCAGTGGGAGGAATTAGTGCCCCATCATTGGTGTCAGTGGGAGGAATAGTGCCCCATCATTGGTATCAGTGGGAGGAATAGTGCCCCATCATTGGTGTCAGTGGGAGGAATAGTGCCCCATCATTGGTGTCAGTGGCAGGAATAGTGTCCCATCATTGGTGTCAGTGGCAGGAATAGTGTCCCATCATTGGTGTCAGTGGGAGGAATAGTGCCCCATTGTTGGTGTTAGTTGGGGGGGAATAGTGTCCCATCATTGGTGTCAGTGGGAGGAGTAGTGCCCCATTGTTGGTGTCAGTGGGAGGGAGTAGTGCCCCATTGTTGGTGTCAGTGGGAGGAGTAGTGCCCCATTGTTGGTGTCAGTGGGAGGAGTAGTGCCCCATTGTTGGTGTTAGTGGGGGGGAATTGTGTCCCTTCATTGGTGTCATTGTGGGGAATTGTGCCCCAAGGGCTGGGTAAAAGCACAGGGACACATGTGGCCCCCGGGCCGTAGTTTGGAGAGCACAGCTCTTGACAGTGGGACACTTAAGGAGGAACTCCTCTACATGTCATAGCTGAGCAGGTGTGAACCAGGAAACAATATACAATATAGCGCCCCTAGTGTCTTCTATGCTTTTTCATCACATTTAAAGTGCGACTTCACCACGTAACCCCCCCTCCCCCCAACACGCACACGTTTAATACAGAAGACACATACACCTTGAAGTGTTTTCTGTGCTCGGGACCCTCCCTGTAGTTTCGGCATGTGTTCAGATGCATGTGCAGGAGTGATGTCATCGAAGGTCCAGCCAATCAAATGGCCAACACTCAGAACCTGGGAGAAGACACCGGTGACCAGAGGGGGCGCTCTTGGACATTTAAATTCCGGGAGGGCTGAGCGGTAGGCAGAGCAGGCGGCCACCAGGGGCGCTATAGCAAGAGGGGGCAGAGAACGGGCAGGACCTGCACCCTGTGCTGCTGGGGGGAGGGGACTTTCTGTGGCCTTGTGCCAGCCCTGATTCCATTGCGTGGCCTGTCAGTAACTGTCAGTGTGCACACCTGTGACAGTTAGCAGTGACTTGGGGGGGGGGGTGGTATTGGTAGATGCTGCAGGATGGGGACCAGAGGAGTAGAACATGTCAGTAGGGATAGGAGTATGTTGTGACGTCATCCCGCCATGATGAAAGTTTGGATCCCCCCCCCCCCCCTTCCGCCGGTTTCCCCGGTAACCTGGAACGGTGCTGTAATGAGAGTTTACACATTCTTGTTTTCCACATAAAAGAGAACATTCCTCATCCAGAGACACATGTGCTGCCGTCCCACAATCCCCCTCTCCGCACAGCTGCAGGAATTAGCCATGGCCTCCCTAACCAGGCCCATATGGCCGGTGCCCCCCCAGCCATGGGCAGAGGAGGGTGTCCTGATCACACGTCCTCCCGTCTCATCCTACATCTGTACGACAGTCCTCCTCCTCCTCATCATCGCACTGTTATGTGAGCGATGTGGATGGGGGGCTTAGAGGGGTGTCACAATGCCTGGCCCCTCCATCCTTTCATACATGTGATTGGCCCCCTCTGATCTGTGACCCATTCCCTCTGCACCCCCATCTTTCCTAGAAGTATCATCTGGGACACGTTTCCTTCCAGGGCCCCCCCCCCCCCATCAACATGCTCATGAATTTATTACAAAAAACCTCTCTGTTTCCATGACATACCTAATTATAGACCCAGTGATGTCATCACTGTGTCTCTGTGTTTGTCTATGCAACACCTTAGAGATGGGACAACCATTCCCACCAACAATGCAGGCAATGGAGACACGGCTGGCTCATTCCAAGTGTGGAGAATGAAAGGCTTGGCTACACATTCATCATACGGTCCTCCACATTGCAATTATTTAGGGGTCAGATAAAAGGTTAAAGCGTACATTAAATCTGCTTATATTTTGCCTTCCCTGGTCACCCCCCCCCCCTCCCCCCATTCACATTCTAATGAAATTATTAAATAAAACCTCTCTCTTTTCATTACATTCCTTATTTTAGATATGATGATGTCATCACTGGGCCTCTGTGCTTCTCTATACAATGCAGGCAGATCATGGCTGGTGGAAGGGTCCGGCAAGGTGCTGTACAGAGCTCCCTGACATCTTCACAGCTCCCTTCCTCTGTACTCCTCTCAGGAGCTCTCAACCCTCATGCAAGCAGTGGGCGGACTCTAGGGAGGAGTTATGCAAATATCAAAATGACTTGATGGGTGTATGCCGGTCTGGAAGAGTGGGTGTTCCTAGACAGGATAAATTTGCATAGGTAACACCCACATGGGGTTGCAGAGCTTCCATGTTTGAAAGATCTGAAATCCAATTAATAAAAGGGGTGGGTCAGGCTGAGGAAAGCGCTAGATGATGCTGGACGTCCTCCAGCAGGAAATGGGGCAGAGCTCTGACTGGCTGCAGCTTCTAATGCACATTGTGAGAAGCTCCCAGTGTGCAGTTACATCAGAGAGAGCAATTCCGGTCCAGGGGAGGAGCCAGTATACCTGTGCAAGACTGAAGGGGAGGAGCCAATACACCTGAGCAAGACTGAAGGGGAGGAGCCAGTACACCTGAGCAAGACTGTGACTGAAGGGGAGGAGGAGCAGGGGTACACCTGTGCAAGACTGAAGGGGAGGAGCCGGTACACCTGGGCAAGACTGAAGGGGAGGAGCCGGTACACCTGGGCAAGACTGAAGGGGAGGAGCCAGTACACCTGGGCAAGACTGAAGGGGAGGAGCCAGTACACCTGGGCAAGACTGAAGGGGAGGAGCCGGTACACCTGTGCAAGACTGAAGGGGAGGAGCCGCTACACCTGGGCAAGACTGAAGGGGAGGAGCCGGTACACCTGGGCAAGACTGAAGGGGAGGAGCAGGTACACCTGTGCAAGACTGAAGGGGAGGCCAGAGGGAGTATCTAAATTACCTGACTATGACCTGGATTGTGAGAGGAACAAAAGCAGCATAAGCAGCCATTAAGTATGTGCTTCAGGAAGCATGCTGATAGGAGGAGATAGCAGAGAGATGACATCACTGGGCTGCTTCTCCTTTCACTGTCCAGTCACAGGCTGGGGGCTGGTCCGGGATTATCTGGGCTTAGAGGAAGTGGGTTAAATGATGCTGGCCCATCAGACTGAGGGCATCTAGTGGCAGATAAAATGTACTGCAGGTGAATCTGTGGGCTGAAGGTGAACTTTCTGAGTTCTACTTTAATTGCACCAATAAAATGACTGCTTTCTGAAGATTCCAGCATGTTGTCAGTGAATGGCTCCACCCAGAACTATCAGTGAGAAGTTGAATTCGATACATTATGACTGGTGGAATTTTCTTTTCTACTTGGGGACATTTAGAGGGAAAAACTGATCTGTGACTTTCCATAAACACTGAATCCGCAGTATACAGTGCAGGAAATGTGTATTTGCCCCCCCCCCCCCCCCTGATGGTGAATGTTCGCCCCTCACACAGAAACGATCGGTCTAACAATGGAACGTTCGCCCCTCACACAGAAACGATCGGTCTAACAATGGAATGTTCGCCCCCCTCACACAGAAACGATCGGTCTGACAATGGAATGTTCGCCCCTCACACAGAAATGATCGGTCTAACAATGGAATGTTCGCCCCTCACACAGAAATGATCGGTCTAACAATGGAATGTTCGGTGTAACACTGAGAGACAGAATACAACAACAAATTCAGCAGAAATGCGTCTAACAAATGATGACGGATCTGCATGTTCATGAGGGAAAGAAGGATTTGATCCCCTATCATTCAGCAGGATTTCCGGCTCCCAGGTGTCTCTCATACAGGTAACAAGCTGAGATTAGAAGCAGTCTCTTAAAGGGAGTGCTGCTAATCTCATTGTGTTACCTGTATAAAAGACACCTGTCCACAGGAGCAATCAAACCATCAGATTTCCAAACTCTCCACCATGGCAAAGACCAAAGAGCTGTCCAAGGATGTCAGGGACAAGATGGTAGACCTACACAAGGCTGGGCTACCAAACTATGGCCAAGCAGCTTGGTGAGAAGGTGACAACAGTTGGTGCAATCATTCACAAATGGAAGAAACACAAAACAAGTGTCAGTCTCCCTAGGTCTGGTGCACCATGCAAGATCTCACCTCGTGGAGTGTCAATGATCATGAGAACAGTGAGGAATCATCCCAGAACTACACGTGAGGATCTTGTCAATGATCTCCAGGCAGCTGGGACCACAGTCACCAAGAAAACAATTGGTAACACACTACGCCGACAAGGACTGAAATCCTGCAGTGCCCGCACGGTCCCTCTGCTCAAGAAAGCCCATGTCCAGGCCCGTCTGAAGTCTGCCACTGAACATCTGAATGATGCAGAGGAGGACTGGTGGGAAGTGTTGTGGTCAGAGGAGACCAAAATCCAGCTCTTTGGCATCAACTCAACTCGCCGTGTTTGGAGGAGGAGGAATGCTGCCTATGACCCCAAGAACACCATCCCAACTGTGAAACATGGTGGTGGAAACATTCTGCTTTGGGGGGGGTGTTTTTCTGCAAAGGGGACAGGCCAACTGCACCACATCAAAGGGACGATGGACGGGGCAATGTACCCTCAAATCTTGGGTGAGAACCTTCTTCCGTCAGCCAGGGCATTGAAAATGGGTGGTGGATGGGTGTTCCAGCATGACAATGACCCAAAACACACGGCCAAGGCAACAAAGGAGCGGCTCAAGAAGAAGCACATTAAGGTCCTGGAGTGGCCTAGCCAGTCTCCACACCTTCATCCGATGGAAAATCTGTGGAGGAGCTGAAAGTTCGAGTTGTCAAACGTCAGCCACCAAATCTTAATGACTTGGAGAGGATCTGCCAAGAGGAGTGGGCCAAAATCCCTCCTGAGATGTGTGCGAACCTGGGGGCCAACTCCAGGAAATGTCTGACCTCTGTGATGGCCAACAAGGGATTGGCCACCAAGTACTAAGTCATGTTTTGTGAAGGGGATCCAATCCTTCTTTCCCTCACTGTATGTATAGTGTATAGCAGGCAGGATTTTCTGATCGTTTTCTGTGGTTCTGGTTCTATCGGCAGTGCTGTGTTCCGGCTCCTTCCATTTGGGGACAATTATCTCCGTCACAAAGGATCTGTTTATGAGTCTTTGTTCCAGACATTCCAGTCCAGGGCCGTCCCTGGCATCCATATACAGACATATACCATAGAGAAGCCTGTGCCAGGCCACCGGAATGTCTGCACACTGCGTACAGCGGGGGAGGGGCCAACTGCCTCACCAGGAGGACTCTGCTTTACAGTGTCATGGCTGCCAGATATTCCCTGAAGATTCACCTGTACCCTCCTCCAGCAGAGCAGAGTATTTCAGGAGAGGAGAGTTATAGAGGAAGGAGCGGAGTCCTCCAGGAGAAGAGAGTTATAGAGGAAGGAGCGGAGTCCTCCAGGAGAGGAGAGTTATAGAGGAAGGAGCGGAGTCCTCCAGGAGAGGAGAGCTATAGAGGAAGGAGCGGAGTCCTCCAGGAGAGGAGAGTTATAGAGGAAGGAGCGGAGTCCTCCAGGAGAGGAGAGTTATAGAGGAAGGAGCGGAGTCCTCCAGGAGAGGAGAGTTATAGAGGAGGAAGGAGCGGAGTCCTCCAGGAGAGGAGAGTTATAGAGGAAGGAGCGGAGTCCTCCAGGAGAGGAGAGCTATAGAGGAAGGAGCGGAGTCCTCCAGGAGAGGAGAGTTATAGAGGAAGGAGCGGAGTCCTCCAGGAGAGGAGAGCTATAGAGGAAGGAGCGAAGTCCTCCAGGAGAGGAGAGTTATAGAGAAAGGAGCGGAGTCCTCCAGGAGAGGAGAGTTATAGAGGAAGGAGCGGAGTCCTACAGGAGAGGAGAGAGTTATAGAGGAAGGAGCGGAGTCCTCCAGGAGAGGAGAGTTATAGAGGAAGGAGCGGAGTCCTCCAGAGAGGAGGAGAGTTATAGAGGAAGGAGCGGAGTCCTCCAGGAGAGGAGAGTCATAGAGGAAGAGAGCGCGAGTCCCTCCAGCAGTGCAGAGTATTTTGTATGGGCTGTGTACAGTCGGTGTAGTTCTCCTCTGTGTCCTGTGCTCTCTGTCTCCGGGGTCTTCTCTCTGATGTGTTTCTCTCCTCTGTGTCTTGTGCTCTCTCTGCCTCCGGGGGTCTTCGTTGATGCGTTTCTCTCCTCTGTGTCCTGTGCTCTCCTCTCTGTCTCTGGGGTACTTCCTACTGACGCTTTTCTCTCCTCTGTGTCCTGTGCTCCCTCTGTCTCCGGGGTCCACTGATGCGTTTCTCTCCTCTGTGTCCTGTGCTTCCTCTGTCTCCGGGGTCCCTGATGCGTTTCTTCTCCTGTGTCCTGTGCTCCCTCTGTCTCCGGGGTCTTCTCTCTGATGCGTTTCTCTCCTCTGTGTCCTGTGCTCCCTCTGTCTCCGGGGTCCCTGATGCGTTTCTCTCCTCTGTGTCCTGTGCTCTCTCTGTCTCCGGGGTCTTCTCTCTGATGCGTTTCTCTCCTCTGTGTCCTGTGCTCTCTCTGTCTCCCGGGGTCTTCTCTCTGATGCGTTTCTGCCTCTGTTTCGCTCTCTCTGTGTCCTGGTGCTCCCTCTGTCTCCCTGGGTCTACTGACTCTGTTTTCTCTCCTCTGTGTCCTGTGCTCTCTCTGTCTCTGGGGTCTTTCGCTGATGCGTTTCTCTCCTCTGTGTCCTGTGCTCTCTCTGTCTCCTCTGTCCTTTTGTCTTCTCTCTGATGCGTTTCTTCTCCTCTGTGTCCTGTGCTCTCTCTGTCTCCGGGGTCTTCTCTCTGATGCGTTTCTCTCCTCTGTGTCCTGTGCTCTCTCTGTCTCCGGGGTCTTCTCTCTGATGCGTTTCTCTCCTCTGTGTCCTGTGCTCTCTCTGTCTCCGGGGTCTTCCCAGCTGATGCGTTTCTCTCCTCTGTGTCCTGTGCTCTCTCTGGTCTCCGGGGTCTTCTCTCTGATGCGTTTCTCTCCTCTGTGTCCTGTGCTCCTCTGTCTCCGGGGTCCTGATGCGTTTCTTCTCCTCTGTGTCCTGTGCTCTCTCTGTCTCCGGGGTCTTCTCTCTGATGCGTTTCTCTCCTCTGTGTCCTGTGCTCTCTCTGTCTCTCCGGGTCTTCTCTCTCTAATGCGTTTCGTTTCTCTCCTCTGTGTCCTGTGCTCTCTCTGTCTCCGGGGTCTACTGACTGATGCGTTTCTCTCCTCTGTGTCCTGTGCTCTCTCTGTCTCTGGGGTCTTCTCTCTTGATGCGTTTCTCTCCTCTGTGTCCTGTGCTCTCTCTGTCTCCGGGGGGGTCTTCTCTCTGATGCGTTTCTCTCCTCTGTGTCCTGTGCTCTCTCTGTCTCCGGGGTCTTCTCTCTGATGCGTTTCTCTCCTCTGTGTCCTGTGCTCTCTCTGTCTCCGGGGTCTTCTCTCTGATGCGTTTCTCTCCTCTGTGTCCTGTGCTCTCTCTGTCTCCGGGGTCTTCTCTCTGATGCGTTTTCTCTCCTCTGTGTCCTGTGCTCCCTCTGTCTCCGGGGTTTTCTGATGCGTTTCTCTCCTCTGTGTCCTGTGCTCTCTCTGTCTCCGGGGTCTTCTCTCTGATGCGTTTCTCTCCTCTGTGTCCTGTGCTCTCTCTGTCTCCGGGGTCTTCTCTCTGATGCGTTTCGCTCCTCTGTGTCCTGTGCTCCCTCTGTCTCCTGGGGGTTTTCTACTGACGCGTTTCTCTCCTCTGTGTCCTGTGCTCTCTCTGTCTCTGGGGTCTTCTCTCTGATGCGTTTCTCTCCTCTGTGTCCTGTGCTCTCTCTGTCTCCGGGGTCTTCTCTCTGATGCGTTTCTCTCCTCTGTGTCCTGTGCTCTCTCTGTCTCCGGGGTCTTCTCTCTCTGATGCGTTTCTCTCCTCTGTGTCCTGTGCTCCCTCTGTCTCTGGGGTCTTCTGATGCGTTTCTCTCCTCTGTGTCCTGTGCTCCCTCTGTCTCCGGGGTCCCTGATGCGTTTCTCTCCTCTGTGTCCTGTGCTCTCTCTGTCTCGGGGGGTCTTCTCTCTGATGCGTTTCTCTCCTCTGTGTCCTGTGCTCTCTCTGTCTCCGGGGTCTTCTCTCTGATGCGTTTCTCTCCTCTGTGTCCTGTGCTCCCTCTGTCTCCGTGGTTTTCACTGACGCGTTTCTCTCCTCTGTAGGTGGTTTGTGATCTTCAGGCCTCTGTGTCATCCCTGAGGGAGGAGAACGGCCGGCAGCAGCTCAGTATGGAGAAGAGGTTGCAGGAAGCTGCCAGGAATCATGATGGAGACAAGAGGAAATTAATGAAGGAGAATGAGAAGGCAATGAAGGTAGAGACCGTGTGATGTGTAGTGATTGTCCCGGGTCCATGTGACAGAAATCATTGCTGGGTGTTAATGAGACAATACAGGAGAGCAACAATGTAACATTAACAATGTCAGAATCTTCATCAACATTAGACACAGGCCTGCTCTACCTGCCAGAACCGTGTCCCCTAAAATTGGGGGGACCGTCCCCTGTACCGTGTGTCCGCAGTCTCTGGTCATCTCCTGTACTATGTCTGCAGTCTCTGGTCGTCTCGCCTGTACTATGTCTGCAGTCTCTGGTCATCTCCTGTACTGTGTCCGCAGTCTCTGATCATCTCCTGTACTGTGTCTGCAGTCTCTGGTCATCTCCTGTACTGTCCGCAGTCTCTGGTCATCTCCTGTACTGTGTCCGCAGTCTCCGCAGTCTCTGGTCTGTGTCCGCTCTCTGGTCACTGTATGTCTGCAGTCTCTGGTCATCTCCTGTACTGTGTCCGCAGTCTCTGGTCATCTCCTGTACTATGTCTGCAGTCTCTGGTCATCTCCTGTACTGTGTCCGCAGTCTCTGGTCATCTCCTGTACTGTGTCCGCAGTCTCTGGTCATCTCCTGTACTGTGTCCGCAGTCTCTGGACCATCTCCTGTAGTATGTCCGCAGTCTCTGGTCATCTCCTGTACTGTGTCTGCAGTCTCTGGTCATCCTGTACTGTGTCTGCAGTCTCTGGTCATCTCCTGTACTGTGTCTGCAGTCTCTGGTCATCTCCTGTACTGTGTCTGCAGTCTCTGGTCATCTCCTGTACTATGTCTGCAGTCTCTGGTCATCTCCTGTACTATGTCCGCAGTCTCTGGTCATCTCCTGTACTATGTCCGCAGTCTCTGACTGTCTCCTGTACTATGTCTGCAGTCTCTGACCGTCTCCTGTACTGTGTCCGCAGTCTCTGACCGTCTCCTGTACTGTGTCCGCAGTCTCTGACCGTCTCCTGTACTGTGTCCGCAGTCTCTGACCGTCTCCTGTACTGTGTCCGCAGTCTCTGGTCATCTCCTGTACTGTGTCCGCAGTCTCTGACCATCTCCTGTACTGTGTCCGCAGTCTCTGACCGTCTCCTGTACTGTGTCCGCAGTCTCTGACCGTCTCCTGTACTCTATGTCCGCAGTCTCTGACCATCTCCTGTACTGTGTCCGCAGTCTCTGGTCACCCTCCTGTACTGGTTGGCATCTGGACGATGGTCATCTTCGATGTAGGGTGATGATAAGCGGGACCATCTCTGCATTTCTCCGGATGACAATCATTCTTTCATAGGATGTAAATGCAGTTTCTCCTAATCGCCATCAGCAGTTCCTAGACTGAGTGACTCCACAGAGCCGGATGGTGGCCGTCTCTGACTCCTTCACATCGGAGAGACTTTCCATCTCCGCCATAAGGCGAGATGGCGAGACACTTCCACACTGTGTGGCCCCTGGTAGACTCAGGCAGACGTCTGGAATCAATCAAGGGGACCCGTTACCATTGCCATCATTCATGGCAGAGGGGTGCCAGAGCCTCCCGGGTTCCCACCACTAACCGCCTGTCCCATCCCAACCACAACACTTCATTTACACCGCCTTCCCCTCATTAATGTGTCCACAATTCATCTCCTTTATCAGTGACCCCCGACGCCTGCAATCAGCTCCTGTACTGGCCCCAGGCTGCTGCAACCTCACTGCACTTCTTCAAATGTAAACCTCCACAGCGTCACATCAGAACAGCTCAACTCCTCGCCATCGGCCTGCAAAACAGACATTTATGTCACTCTTCCTATTCTGCGTCTCATTGAATGTTTGTGATCACAAACTGCGTCGTACATTTACCGCTCCCAGTGTCTGCCTCTAGAAGTGACATTCTCTGGGAGGTCTCCTTTTTTTATATTCTACAGAGGTACATAGTGACATTCTCTGCACTGTGTCTTTGTTTTCTGATTCTACAGAGGTACATAGTGACATTCCCTGGGAGGTCTTTGTTTATATTCTACAGAGGGTCTAGTGACATTCTCTGGGCAGGTCTTAGTTTATATCACCTGTACAGAGGTACGCAGTCTCTGACGTCTCCTGTACTTTGTCCGCATATTCTACAGAGGTACATAGTGACATTCTCTGGGAGGTCTTTGTTTATATTCTACAGAGGTACATAGTGACATTCTCTGGGAGGTCTTTGTTTATATTCTACAGAGGTACATCTAGTGACATTCTCTGGGAGGTCTTTGTTTATATTCTACAGAGGTACATAGTGACATTCTCTGGGAGGTCTTTGTTTATATTCTACAGAGGTACATAGTGACATTCTCTGGGAGGTCTTTGTTTATATTTGACAGAGGTACATTCTGCAGTGTACATGACATTCTCCTGGGAGGTCTTTGTTTATATTCTACAGAGGTACATAGTGACATTTCTCCTGGGAGGTCTTTGTTTATATTCTACAGAGGTACATAGTGACATTCCCTGGGAGGTCTTTGTTTATATTCTACAGAGTTACATAGTGACTCTCTGGGAGGTCTTTGTTTTATTAATTACAGAGGTACATAGTGACATTCCCCGGGGAGGTCCTTTGTTTATATTCTACAGAGGTACATAGTGACATTCTCTGGGAGGTCTTTGTTTATATTCTACAGAGGTACATAGTGACATTCTCTGGGAGGTCTTTGTTTTATATTCTACAGAGGTACATAGTGACATTCTCTGGGAGGTCTTTTTTTATATTCTACAGAGGTACATAGTGACATTCTCTGGGAGGTAGGCCCGATTTGTTTATATTCTACAGAGGTACATAGTGACATTCTCTGGGAGGTCTTTCATGCAGATTTATATTCTAACATGGTACTAGTGACATTCCTGGGGAGGTCTTTTGTTTATATTCTACGGAGGTACATAGTGACATTCTCTGGGAGGTCTTTGTTTATATTCTACAGAGGTACATAGTGACATTCTCTGGGAGGTCTTTGTTTATTATTCTACAGAGGTACATAGTGACATTCTCTGGGAGGTTCTTTGTTTATATTCTACAGAGGTACATAGTGACATTCCCTCTGGGAGGTCTTTGTTTATATTCTACAGAGGTACATAGTGACATTCGGCCTGGGAGGTCTTTGTTTATATTCTACAGAAGGGGTACATAGTGACATTCTCTGGGAGGTCTTTGTTTATATTCTACAGAGGTACATAGTGACATTCCCTGGGAGGTCTTTGTTTATATTCTACAGAGGTACATAGTGACATTCTCTGGGAGGTCTTTGTTTATATTCTACAGAGGTACATTGTGACATTCTCTGGGAGGTCTTTGTTTATATTCTACAGAGGTACATAGTGACATTCTCTGGGAGGTCTTTGTTTTATATTCTACAGAGGTACATAGTGACATTCCCTGGGAGGTCTTTGTTTATATTCTACAGAGGTACATAGTGACATTCCCTGGGAGGTCTTTTGTTTATATTCTCACAGAGGTACATAGTGACATTCTCTGGGAGGTCTTTTGTTTATATTTTTTCTACAGAGGTACATAGTGACATTCTCTGGGAGGTCTTTGTTTAATATTCTACAGAGGTACATAGTGACATTCTCTGGGAGGTCTTTGTTTATATTCTACAGAGGTACATAGTGACATTCTCTGGGAGGTCTTTGTTTATACTCTACAGAGGTACATAGTGACATTCTCTGGGAGGTCTTTGTTTATATTCCACAGAGGTACATAGTGACATTCTCTGGGAGGACTTAATTCGATTTATACTCTACAGAGGGTACATAGTGACATTTTCTGGGAGGTCTTTGTTTTTATTTCTACAGAGATACATAGTGACATTCTCTGAGAGGTCTTTGTTTAATCATTCTACAGAGGTACATAGTGACATTCCCTGGGAGGTCTTTGTTTATATTCCTACAGAGGTACATAGTGATAAAGATCTCAGAGGAGGTCTTTGTTTATATTCACTACAGACTGGTACATAGAGACATTATCAGGAGGACCATAAGTATTACATGTCACAGAGGTATCATTAGTGACATTATCAGGGAGGTCTTTGTTATATTCTACCGAGGCTCCATACGTGACATTCTCTGGGACGGTTCTTTGTTTATACTCTCCAGAGGAACCCCCCATTCATAGTGACCTTTTCTCTGGGAGATCTGCCCTAGTTTATATTACTACATAGGTCATCGCCCTGACATTTTTCTTGAGGCTCTTTGTTTATAAATTCCTCAGAGGTCCCTAGAAGACATTATCTGGAGGATTCCTTGTTTACATTGACCACAGCGGTCCATACCGTGAAGCGGCGTTATGTCCAAACATGGCAGATACTATCAGGTGAGAGTTAGAGGCACCCCTTTTGGTCCTTCCCTCCACATTTCATTCACTCCACTAGCCCGCATACCACACTAATCATTGTATGCCAGAAGTAAGATGCCAGGTTAACCATCTTTGGAAGGTGTACCCCTGAGAGAAGAACCGGTTCACCCAAACCGGTGTGTGAGGTCCACCCCAAGGTTTGCTGTGGCCCAGTGGTGTCATCCATCGAATGTTTTCTAGTAGTCGTGTCCCGGCCATTTTCCCTGACCAGAACGGCAAGCTACAGGAGAAATGTGTTGAGGACATCTTGTAAACTTTCCTAGGACTGACCTTGTTCCAGAAAAACTCCGTCCTCGTTCAACGACCACACGGCTGACCCGTTTCCCATGTTTATGGTTTTTCAGCTTAGCCGTCGATGAGAGCTCACCCGGGCCAATTTTTCCTTCATCATATGCTTTGATTTTCCCGATGTGCCTACACAATTATGGATCGTGAGGCATCACATTGAATCTGATGCCAATCAGCAGGTTATAATTGCCATCTTACCTTAAAACACATCCATCACACGGGGGGCCCCAGATGTCGCCTTGTGTCTAGCAGGGACCCAGGGCCCGTCGCCCCTTCATGTTGCCCACCACTGTGGAGATGGGAAACGATTGTGGAAGTGGAGATTAGAAAGTGGCGGAGGATGTGGTCAGAATGTTGTGTCTTGTACTGCCATCACTTATATCCCATGACCAACCACCATACTCACCCAGCTCCTGTGATTTCCAGGGACTTCTAGAGCCTTCCAGCGTCTGCTCCTTCCACAGGTCCATGAATGTGAATTATTTCATAATTCTTGTTTCTTTAAACACAATTTTGGGACGGCTCTTTTGCTGTCTGATGTCGTTGGGGATGTTATCTCCCTGGTCAACACACATGAATTTAGCAGTAAGCTGAACTTCCGTTATTCAGGATGTGCATTCTCCACATATCCTCAGGGTAACCCTTGGCCCAATGCAACAGAATCTATCTGTAGCCATACCCAGCCCCCTATTTTTACAATCTGAGATTCATCCTCTCGGTCTTTCTTGGTACAGAAAGAGAGGGGGAATCCTGAAATTTATAGTTGTCACCAGAAGAGGGAAAAAGGGGAAACTTCCAATGGGGGACAAACCTTTTTTT